TTGGGTAACTACCAGGCATAATGTTATCCTAACATCTTATGTATTGTATAAGCTACTGATATATTACAAATAGTAACATTTTTTGTAAAAATTGATGAAGTAGTTTTATAACATGTATCCCCCTCTCCCACCCCGTAAAAACAGTAAAAGTGGGGCCGTGAACTCATTTTAGTAGCGTGATCTAAAAGACATGGGCTATCGCATTGGGATCTTCGAGCCATCTGGAAGGAGGAAAGGACCATAGATCGGTTATGAGAGAGAGAGAAGTGTGTTTAGTGTGCGAAAAGTGAGGAGGTGAAGGCCTCTATTTATAGGGTCGATTTTGATGTGCACGCGACACAAATATCTGTGTGCGTCGTGCACGAGCATCATGGCTCCATCCAGAAGCCGCCACGTATCACTTTCCTAGTGGTCCATATCTCTCAAATCTTGACGAATATGAGTGTTAGAAGTACATGTTGTGCGTGGCGAACGTGACACGCGCACAATTAATAATTTGTAAAAATTCTTATCTTTCTTATATGAATCTTGTTTTTGACGTTCTTTATTTAATTATGTAGCTATCGTTGAATACTACAACTTTCATTTAGGTTGTATTGGCTAATTCCTACTTTTGTTTATAGCCTGTATTTATGTTTTTCCAAAAATAATATCTTCTTTGTATGGACTCCATAAGATTAAATGTGGTTTATTGCTTGATGATCATGTGATATTATGTGTATTACATGTGATCTGATATTATGTGTATTACATGTGATCTGTATGATGTGTGAGTGTTATGATTTTTCTTACTAAGGCTTAGACTTATAGTTGTTATTTCATGTTTTAGTTGCATGTCATTTAGGTGCGAAAGACAAAGAGCACGTGTGATTGAGATATATGGTCATTTTCAAGGGCATGACATCCACTTTATGTTTATATATTGTTAACTCTGTTTTAAAAGAAGTACTTCGCTTCCATTTTTTATGATAATTTTGATACTCTATGACTGATAATATTATGGATGAAACCCTTTTTTTTTATCTATTATTACTCTGATTTTAATTTTTTTTATTGAATTGTATATTGGGACGTTACAAAAGAAACTCAAAACTTTGATCAAATTTGTAATTTAATCCATATATTTCTATCTGTTTAAACTTTTGCTATTTTGAAAGAAATATTGTAGCTAACAATGTCAGCATAAAATGTTACCAATATGATATACAAGCAAATTATATATATACATATATATATATATATATATATATATATATATATATATATAGAAACAGGATCGGGTGAGGACTCATTTTAAAGTGAGTACTTGTGAGGACATCTTAAAAAAATTGAAAAAAAATCTAAAAAAAATTTTGATCATTAAAATTGAATCATGGATCAATTTTAATGATGCAAAATAAATTTTCCAATTTTTTTTCTCCCGGACATAGATTTATGCTCGATTTTATGATTTGTCTTTCTTTAGATTTTTTTTAAATTTTTTTTAAGGTGAACTCACGAGTCTTCACTTTAAAATAAGTCCTCACAGAAACCGGACAATAAATGTAAGAAACAAAATAACCTACCCCATATATATATAATATATATATATATATATATATATATATATATATATATATATGGGGTAGGTTATTTTGTTTCTTACATTTATTGTGTGCTAGAATGCACCAATAGGAATTTAGTAAATTAAATAATTATTTAATTAAATAAGTATAGATATTAAATGATTTCCATAATTATATGTATATTAAATGATATCCATAATTATATGTATATTAAATGATATCCATAATTATAATTCTCTTTTTATGAAAACTAATTAAATCCGTAATTAATGTCAGCAATAACATTCTTTCAGAATGAATTCGCATCTAGGTTTTTATATATGAGTTTGTATGTTGTTTCAGGACCCACTCACTTAAAATACAATAAAGTTCCATGGAATATGAAGAACAAGAGTGTATTCTACTAGAATACACTCTCATTCTGCTGGAATACACTCTCATTCTTCTAGATATGAATTCATTCTGAAAGAATATTATTGTTGACATTAATGACGAATTTAATTAGTTTCCATAAAAATGAGTTATAAGTATGGATAGCATTTAATATATATATATATATATATATATATATATATATATATATATATATATATATATATAATTAATACTATATTCCTATTGGTGCATTCTAGCACATAATAGATGTGAGAAACATTTGAACCTACCTCATATATATATATATATATATATATATATATATATATATATATATATATATTATAGAATTAGGTTCAAATGTTTTCAATAAGTATTGTGTGCCTCTAACAACCAATCAGAATAAAACAAAAATAAATTCAATAATAAATCATAAAAGGGTATAATAGTAATATTGGCTACACTTAATTATGGTAAATATTTAAAACATTTAATATCCTTTAAATTGGGTGAATTTGTTTGTTAAATTAGACGTCTCTTTCATTACCATCACCATAAAAACGCCGTCTTCGACCACAACCCTAAATCCTTCAATTGCCGACCACAAAACCTCAGTGGCAATATTTACCGTCGGTCCTCCACTAGTCGTTGCCATCACTCACCTACATCATGTTCGATTTTATGTCCAGTAAACAAGGAGATTGTTGCAAACACTAGTGACCTCGCAAAACCTACTCATCTTCTTTAACTCGATGCAAGAATGAAGGCACATAGAACTAAAGACGAGCTATATAGACGTATTTGTGTGTGTATGAATATATATATATATATATATATATATATATATATATATATATATATATATATATATATCAAGATCATTAAGAAGGATTTGTAATCAATCTTGAGCATCGACCAACATAAGTTGATTAATTCAACAGGTATGTTCCTTTCCTAGTTAGTTTAAGGATTGTTAATGTTTCTTAAATGGCAAAGTCTTGTTTTGTTACAGTCCCAAAACTCGACTTTCTAAGTTTTCTTTTTAAATGACTAGATTAACAGAAAACTTTGATTTTCTTGTTCCCTAAACTAGTATCTAGCTTCAGACTAAAACGACATCTGATTTTGCTCACCAGCTGTTTGTTAAAACGCTTGAACCAATTATTTCATCCATCCATTTGTATATGATGTCCACTGATAAGTCATTTGAAAATTAGCCTATGTAGTTTTGTTAATATGGTTTGTATTGGTCTAATGGGGTCTTTATTTTCTCTTTTTTAGCTTTTCTTATGGTTTGTTATTCCATAAACATGATGATTTAGTTTTATTTCTTTGAATTAATTTCATACTCTTTAAGAATATTCAACACCATTTTGGGAGAATATTTATGGCATCATTCTTGCTGAATAAACATGTTTTTTATAGCTATTAGAATCTAAGTAATATCTTGCTAGAATAAAGTATATGTATTCTTATAGAATATTCTGTACTGTATTCTGTCAGAATTTATTTGTATAAATGCATTATGTCAGAATGTCTTTAAGAATGTTTGTTAATAACAAGTATATTTGCTTAATTGGTAATACTAATGAGTAATACATGTTATTCTTTCAGAATGGCTTGAAAAAGGAATGTAATATTAATCATACAAGATAAAGACTTGAAATCGAATTCAACATCAAGTATATTTGCGAAGAATTACATTCTTACAATAATACATCACATTTTCGTAAGAATAGTTGGAATCAAGTGGATTATTTGGACCATTGAAGAAGATCAAGTGAATTTGTTCAATAATTGTATATTTAAGAATTCTATTTCTTAATAAATTTACTCATTTTTTATGATATTATGTTAGAATCTATGTAACTATATTAAAATGTATAAGGCTATTAGTTTGTAAGAATATGTATGAATTTGTATTTAAGGTCGAATATATGAAGAATTAATATGGTTAATTATCAAAAATATATGAATTGGAACTATATTCTGTAAGAATAAAATCAGAAATATCGTTACTAGTTTATGGCTGACATTCTGTCAGAATAAATTCAGTTTATTTTAAAGAATTACGTTAGAATTAAAATTGAATTAATTCCAAAAATCCAGATTTATTAAATTAAGAGAATTATTATCCCCTAAAAATCCGAAATTTTCCTTTTTTAATATAGGTTAATTGATCAAAATGTCCTTATGTTGAAATTTGGTGTGATTATATGGTACATGTTACCTTATTCTAATATCATACACCCTCAAATCATGACCATTGATTTTATTATATAGAACATTTTTGAATTATTTTTTCCATTTGTCATTTTCTTGTATTTTTCATTTTCTTAAACTTAAAATCCATATTTTAATGAGATTTATATATGTAAAATAGATCATTTATTAAATTTCATAATAAATGCTCTACAATCTTTCAAATATCTTATATTATATATTAAATTACTTACATTATTTATTATATTTTTTGTATTTATATAAACTTATTATTTTAAAAAATATGTAATGCTTATAATTTTATATTACACTTTTTTTTTCTAAATCCGTGTAATACACGGATTTCACACCTAGTATATATATATATATATATATATATATATATATATATATATATATATATATATAACACCCATAAAACATGTTTACCAAAATGACATAATATATTTTTATTAATATGATATGCAAGCAATTGGGCCGGGCTAGTGATCAACATGTCTTAATTAGGATTATTTTTTTCAACGCGACTAAGCCTTTTTGGATCAGATCGGAGACAAGTTAGATTTTTTTTCTTTGATGCTAATAATAATTGAATCAAGAAACAAAAAATATGGAAAAGAGTTAAATAGATTATTGTATGATGATTTTTCCAAGCATTTTGTATTTATGATTAATTGTTTAATTAAGTCGATGGGCAACTTCGAGTCAAATGAGCAAAAAAGTCCTCCAAGAATCTCTTCACCCCTCCTTTTCGACGCCTTTCCTATCAACATCCCCCATCTATTGTACAAGTTGTTTAAGCACCAGAAATAACCCAACAGCAGGTACATATTAGATCGACACATAAATCAATTTAAAACCTAACTATGTTTATGTTTTCTTGAATGTTTTTTTTAATCATCAATATCTTTACATTAAATGCATAAAAAATAAAACTTAAGCATATTTTAACTTTGTAAACACGAAAAGTACAAATCCACAGCCGAATAAACACTTATATACATATTTGCATATTAAGGCCCAAATTTAACTCAGAAACCGCATAAATCCTGCAAAAAGAAAAAGAATACACATCTAGAGTTCATATAACGAATTCTAAATAGTTGTTGGGTTTTGACCATATACTTTGTTGTCTAATAAAATCAGGACCTAGTGGAGAAAAGTTCTAGGGAGCATGGTAATGAGGGTATATAAGGAACATTTGACAAAGCAATTTTCAGTGCCATAATTGGTAAGAACTCAATGTATAGAAATTCCATCCAAATGACAAAGAAACTTCCGTTTTTTCCTATAAGACAATTTTCAGTTTTCACTGCTATAATTTGAAAAATCTATACCCAATTAAGAAGAATAAAAGTACAATGCCATAATAACTGAAAGTACAATGCCCTAATAATTGAAAGTACAATGTTGTAATTAGAAGAAATGAAAGAAGGATGCAATAACACACTTATAAATGAAAGTATGTTGCTACTTCTTGCCTTTAGCCTAAAGTTGTTGTTCATATTGATTATTGTAAGAAGGCCAAGGTGATTGTTGTTGGTTTACTAAAAAAACAGAAAAGACATACAACTCATCAATAGTAAAAAGGCAGAAGAATTGTGGTTAAATTAACACTGGGCAGAGCAATAAACATGGGGAGCAAGTAATATGCCCCCTTGCAACCTATTCTTTTTGCAGTACAAGTGAATGTGAAGTTTTTTATGTCAAAGGAATTATTAGATAGGCATGTATGGAAGTAGATGATATGCTTTTAAATAAATTCAAGGGGCCTCTAATTAAACTTGCATACCCTTGTTACCATGCTCCCAAGAATTCTGTTTTGTAGGTGATCAGCGTTTAAGGGGGTATTATTCCTATCTGATTTGGATGATAACTTGTAAATTTTGAGAGCGAGATCAGTTTATTAAGGGAAAGAAATGTGTCAACTCTGTTGTTTAAAGATTTAAATTTGATTACAGAAAATCAAAACATGAATTATTTATCATCAAAACATATATTAATCATCATTTTAGTTACCATCAGCTCTAGATAAAAGCACTGTAAGTGCCATCCTCAGGCACACCCGACTTCCTTTGGGACAAAGCTTTGAAGTACACCTTATCTAATGAAACAAAATAGATTAGAGATTTGGCAATGATAGCAGAAGATATAAACATGAATTAAAATACTATCATATAGTTATTATCAGCTTTAATTAAAAAGCGTTACATAAGAACGACATCTACCTTTAAAGTGGGCACCTTCTCTACACAGATAAGAATATTTTTCTAGTTCTATATCCAACAAAGGCCACAAAATTTGCCATTTGCTTAGGAAGTATGCTCCTGTTGTTGACTGAAATGCAGTGAGATCTCCACCAATGATGTGATTCCATGACTTGTAATAACCCAACACATCTTCTTCTTCTTTTTCTTCTCCATCATCATACACAAAACTCACCCCACACTCCTCTGTAACTGTAGTAACATCATATGATTTCTTCCACGGGATAATGGTAATAGCAACATGGTCACCAAATTCCATCTCATGCATCCCAAACATCCAATGGCTTAACAAAGTCAAACACCCTCCATCTACATTCACTCTATCAATGTAATAATGGTATATCCAGGTGAGGTTCTTTGTTACATTACTAATTTTGATCAATGGCACATCAAGGAGAACAAAATCTATTGATGTCAGAACACAACAGAAATTTAATCCAGTAAGGTTGTTAGGAGATGATGGGATGGTAAATGATATTGATCGTCCCATGCTTCTATCCGTAATCCAATTCGGCATCTCTTTGCCTTCATAAATAGTGCTGAATATCCCAAATTCATAATACATCTGTTAAATACAACCACGTTCATTAATTACATATACATACATATTCACACAAAGACATATAGTTAACTATAGCAAACCTGGATTTCAGATTCCTCTGATTCTCTATATTCAAAAGAAGTTGTCACATGTCTTCCTTTAAGCAAGTGAAGGTTAGTCCAGCCCAAACAATGTAATACCTTTTCCTCAACACCTGCCATTGGTTGGATTTTGACCATACCTTCAACTTCAAACGATGAATGTGCCAAGATCGTCCGGTCTAGTGAGAACTTGATTGGGGACATTTGTGGATCAAATACAACTTTTCGTAACAATGGCTTATTAGTATGATCATCAAACATTAGATTTAAAGATGTTAATGTATGTGGAGGATGCTCGATTGATGTCAGCATATTACAATTCCCCATACTAAGTTTCTCAAGCCTAGGAAGGTTTCTCACACAGTTGGGAAGGGAAACTATAGGATTTTTATCTAGATATAATTCTTTTAACATGGTTAGGCAACTGAAGTCCAAGGGAAAAGAATCAATGGATAAATTATTATTCTCAAGTGACAAGCTTACTAAAGATCTCGGTAAAGAAGTCACAAACAACTTTGAATAACTTGGCATAGCCTGGAGAAGAGTGGAGGAAGAGGTTATTGTGTTTTTGCCAATGTTGTTAGCCTTGAGCATTTCCAAAGAACCCATATCCGTAATCTTGATTTGAGATTCACCGAGATAACAACCGTTTAGCAATAGTGTTTTAACTTTTTTTAACATGCCTAAGCTTCTTGGAAGTTTTTCAAGCTTCTTGCAGTAGCTCAGATCAACATGGACAAGTTCAGGACATTGCTCAACTGATTCACAAACTTCAAGCAAACTGATGCAATTTTTAAGTATTAACCTTTCAAGTGCAGGGAAATCGTCAAAGCCACCCAGACTACAAAGTTGTTCACAGAAACTTAAATTAAGAATCTTCAGTGATCCAAGCAACCTTTTATCTTTTAAGCACGGTCCAACTAACTGTGGAAACAGAAATCAGTTGGAATATAGTAGTGCATTTTATCAACTCAAAATGGAAAATTAATAAATGGAGATAAGTTACCTTTTGCCTCTTCTGAAGCCGTTGTGGGTTACTATAACAAATGCCAAACGATTCAATATTGCTATATGACATGTCAAAAGCAACAAGATTCTCCATTGACAGGTTTGAAGGTAGAGACTTCAAAGGAAACCCATGCATACATAACCATCTTAATTCTTCAGGAAATTTTTCATAACACCCACTAATTTGCACATAGTTGAGTTGTAGTAGCATCAAATTATCCATATTACTCAATGCATCTGTTTTCAACTCAAATGATGCACACAATTTCTTCTCAAGCATTCGCATGTCTAGGGCAAGACCTAGAAGATTTCCCTTACCCTATAAAAATTTTGAATGACAAAAAATTTAAAGTGGTTACATAAAAAATTACAAGAAACTTAAAAAATGCAATAAGAAAGGCTAAATTAAAGATATAGCAATGTACTTTCATTTATTTATGTGTATTGCAGTATCATAGTTTCAGTTTTCTATTACACAATTACATCTTTTTTTCCTTATTAAAACACTATATTTTGAAAAATCTACCCAATTATAACATCATACCCTCAATTTTTTTTCTTATTACGACATTATACTTGGAAAAATCCGCCTAATAACATTGAAAATTTCTTTGTATTTGGAGGACATTAATATATTTGGGTATATTTTTCAAGTACAATGCTATAATAGAAGAAAACTAAAGTGTAATGTTATACATTATACTAAACAAATCAACAAAAGTTTTTTTAGAACGGTGACGCACACACACTTTAATCTATTCCTAAATCCACCTATGTCCCACACAGGACTTTGAACCTTCAACCTATTGGAGGGAGGGCATCTCACCATACCACTAGGCCAAATGCCTTTTTATATATCAAAGAAAGTAAAATGTTATTTCTTGCATTTAACACTAGTATTAACAAGTATTCCTACCTTTTTTTGTTTCAACACTTTGAATGACTCCTCATGACACCATAGTCGACTTCGCTTCCATGGCTTGTCAGGTGATTCTTGATGTACTATGGATCTACCCATCCTTTGAAGCAACTGATGCATCATTAGTTCGTTATTCACCCCAATACTAAGAAGGCATCTGTCAATGAGATTTGTGATCCCAGTTCTTGTTTCAATGCCACATGCCTTTAATATTGTTACAGTATCATCTGTATTTGTTCCAACAAAAAAACAAGCAATATTCTTAAACAAGTTCTTATTATCTTCGGTTGGCAAAGAGTCAAAGCTCATTCTCAAGACATTATTTATGGGTGAACCAATTTCTTTCTTAAGCCCTTCTATGCACCCCTCCCAATAAGCTACGTCTCGATTATGTAAAGACTTGCCCAAAACTTTAAGAGCCATTGGATGTCCTTCACAATAGTTCACAAGTTTTGCTGACGCCTCCTCATAACCTCGCTTGGGATCGTTGCACGTGAATGCATGAAAACAAAAAAGCTTTTTTGATTCGGTCTCGAATAAGCCTTTAAGCAAGTGCTTAGTATGTATTGGCCTACCATTCATTTTGAATAGTTCACAACTCTCTGTCAACCATGCGTCCTTTGTTGTTATTATGATTTTGCTTCCTGGATGAAAACCTTTGCTTCCAAGTAATGCATCCAATTGGTCGAGACTATCAATATCATCAAGAACTAGAAACACCTTTTTGTGGGCTACTGCATTCTCTATCATTGATGTGTATATAGAAACTTCATGAACTTGAATTGGACTTGGTTTTAAAATTCCATCATAGAGTTGTTTTTGCACATCAAGCAACCCATTAAATTTCTCACATCTTGGACCGATATCATTAATAAAGAAACTTGTGTCGAATTCATGAGAATGTAACGCATAGACATATTTGGCTAAAGACGTCTTCCCGATCCCACCCATGCCCAAAATGGTGAGTACATCTGTCGTATGTGGGGATGCATCTTTCAACCACGAAGTGATGAATTTAATGGAATCCTCCATCCCAAAAAGTTGTGGCGGGGGACTCCTTGAGGATATGTGTAATCTATGGTAGATGTCCTTAACAATTTCTTCAATAAACACCGTCTCTAGCCTGAAACATGATTTTATTAAAAACCACAAGACACAATCCAAGATGCAAGGATACCATATTGGCGATTTTGTTTATCTAAAGATCCAAATCAAAATTATATCATATTAAGCTATTTTTGGTTAAGTTTTCCACACCAAAACTGTATAATATTTGCACTTCTAACCATATAAGCATCAAATGTGCAAAATCATAATTGTTATCTATGACAAGACCAGAGCCACCAATGTAAAACAAGATCTCACTAATGGGCCGCCAAATATTTTTATGGTTCTACAAAACCATCACAATTACATATCGACGTGGTTTTGCATGAATCTGACCAAAATGTCACAAAACAGTTATAGGTTAACCTTTACTATTGTAAGAACAGCTATTTTTCTTAATAAATGATTATATAATTTTGAATGTAGAATGTTATAATCAATAGTAGACACATAGCCATTCAAATTTGGCTTTTTATAAAACATATATAAGAATTATTAAAATGGCCAATCTGAATGAATTAACTTTTCATAAAATAATAAATGCATAGGAAATGTATTAAAACTAGCATGATGCTTAATCAATTATGAGATCACATAATTACAAATATACCTATTTGTTGACAATGTAGAAACTTATTGAAATGCATAGGGAGAAGAAGATACTAATTTCTCATATGCTGCTAAACAAAAGTAAAAGAGTACGGAAATATGGGTAAGAAGGTGGTTACCTGGCATTTAAATCCTTCCCTTTTAAATTAACAACTTCTATAAGCGCTTTATTCCATCTGTCTATCTTTTGAGCCAACTTACTTCTTTTATTTGCGTTTGTCTCTGACTCCATTGTCCGTCTATGCTTAGCCATTGCATCTCCGAAGCTACTTTGTTGTTTCCTAACATGAGTGGGCTCAACATGATAAAAGATAGGGATAACAATATGGTTGGATGTCTTACGTTGCTCAAGGATCAACACCAATTCATCAAGACACCATGTGGAAGTAGCATAGTTCCTGGACAACACAATAACAGAAGCCCTTGATGATTTGATCGCACTCTCCAATTCCGGTTTCAGATCTTCCCCTGTTTCAATCTCTTCATCATCCAAGAAGGTAGTGATATTGGCATCCACAAGAGCCTTATGAAGGTAAGCAGTAAAAGTATTACGCGTGTCGAGACCTCTGAAACTTAAAAACACATCATATCTATGACCATGAATTGATGAAGATCCTTCTGAAAGTTCAGAGAGAACAACCATTATGAGTTATATGATGATGACCCTTCAACCTTGCCAATATCTTGTGTATAGATTTTTCGTTTCTCCGTATATGTTGGTGTATCCCAATAAGCTCTGAAACTCAGTTTCCTCCGTACATCATCAGTTACGAATGTTGGTTTCACTGTTTGCCTTCTGTGTGTGTGTGTGTGTGTCTCAGGTAATAAGTGTTGTGTTATGAGTCTTTTATATCCCATACATAATGTCTCTACAAAAAAACCCAAATTATTAAAACCTTATGCAACTTAAGTCTCATCAAACATGTTAAACCTCAACAATAATACCTTATATTCTTCAAAATATAATTTCTAAGTGTTTAAAAAATAGTACATATGCACCTCAAACTTTGATATGTGAATTAATGTATATATCTTACTACATTATACTGATATAGAATCACCATTACATGGGAATTATTTGAAAAATGGTTGCTCATTAAATTGAATTGATTAAATTGTACTTTTAGTTAAGTTGTGGTGCAAGAAAATATCAAACCAATGCATTCAATTAACCTGCAAAAACTTTATTTTATCCAATTCACTTACCACAAAAATCCTTAGACAAGTCAGCACCAAATACCATTCTAGAAACAACTAAAATATCCATTATTACCTACCATGAAACTTCAATAAGTATAGGAAATTTCTGACTTGACCAGAGATCAATAAACAATTAATAGATATAAACACAGAAAATAATAAGTTCCTATACATGGTTGTTTATAGACCCTCCGCATTAGCAAGAAAAAGCTTTTCAAATTTGAAATTATCTATCACTAGATCTAGCATCAGCAGCATACTGTTGGGCTTGTGCCCAATTATATGTTTTTTTAAATGAACAAGCCCCCTATTCCTAAGCTTTCGATTTCAAACTCTATACTAGATGAAACTTTGGAGGTAAATGCACCTTATACACAATCATATAGATATCATTATCAATATCAAGCTGCATCTTTTTTTATGGAAACAATGTGATGGAATAGATTTGTGCATACCCTGGAACTTAACAAAATACTACTTGTAATTCCAACATCCAAATGAAAAGGATATCAAAGTGATGGACCCAAACACACAAATGAGGAAGTGACCAAGTATTATTGCATCTTAAAGTAGCTATTGTCACTTGGATATGTAAGACAACTAAAAGCACAACTAGAACAAGGACAGTTCAGCTAAAAAGGATGGCATCAGTTAAAAAGGATCATACATAAAAATTTGTGTTTATAATTTGGATAACATGAAGGAATCAAGGAAGTGATCTAGGAGGATTCAAGAATTTCCCAATGTGCACAAAGGTTTCTTCGTCATTCTGAACTTTATGCAAGAACGTGTGGGACTATGTACTAGCCTGATTGAAATATAAAACTGAACAAATGTAAGTGAAATAGCTGAAATTTCAAGTACCTAATAATGAACAAACAAATGATTACGATGTCATTTATGATTAATAAGATTTTAAGAATGTGCCTTCATAGTTACCTACCTAGAGGACGACAACGAAACCTGAAGCGTTGAGAATAGAGATCGAACCAACGGCGACGAGATCAAGAAGGATGAAGAGTGAAAACTATAGATCGACCAGAGGTAAGTAGGCAGGTAAACGACGAGTCAACGAGGAAGGAAAGGGAGACGGCGAGTGAGGAGAGACGAGAATGCTGGGTTTCCTCTTTATTTTTCTTAAGATAAATGAAATTATATTTTTGACTCGGATTACAAATTCGGTCCATGTGGTTTTTATTGTTTTTAGTTTAGAACCCAAAAATAACAAAACTGCAAAATGGTCCCTATGGTATGATTTTTTTTAGGATTCGGTTCAAACCATAATTTTTTTTTGGATTGATGGTCATTTTGACCATGTTTGTATGTTTTTTTGGTCTCTGCTCACACTAAAAAAACTATTATACCCTTCTTCTTTATTTTTAAGATTTTTTTAAATATAATAAATATTAAAAGGAAATGGACTCACATCTAGAGGTGCACAAAACCCGAATCCAGTCCGATCCGGATTCGGATCCGAAGCCGATCTGGTTTCGCTTAAGTCATCAAAAATCTTATCCGGATCCGGTCGAAATACGATCCGGTTCCAACCAAAATGCGAATCCGATTTGAAACTGATTTTAGTGGGTTTTAGCGGATTTTGGGGCGGATTTAGATCCGGTTTTTAGCAAATCCGGTTTACAATGTGGTATCAAATCCGATATGGAATGTAGGATTACGATCGGATTGAAAATCCGGTTTTAAAAACCGGTTTTGACCCAATCCGGTTTCGGATTGGATCCGGTTTTGAATAGTGAAACTGGTTTTTGTGTGCATCTCTACCCATATATCTCTCTTTCTTTCTCTCTCTCTCTCTCTCTCTCTCTCTCTCTCTTTCTCTCTCTCTTTCTCCCAGATTTATGGGTCTATTTGTCAAAACTCAAGAATACTGTTAGGATGCAAAGTCACGTTTGGATGTATTTGTGCTTTACCCACTTGTATTGTGTGATGAGTTGTCTTTCCTATAAATAGGAAGTAAATGACACTCATTTATGTAATAAACACTTTGAGAGCATTAGTTTAGAGAGAGAAACTGGAAGACCCATTTGTACTCTTTCTATCAATACTAATAAGAGCTAAACTCATATTTATTTACTTCATGTGTTCTTGATTTTGTATGATGATTCACTAGATCTTTGCTAATTCCGCACATGCCATCATAATCAACACCACTACAATTGGTATCAGAGCGGATGTCCTTGATTTGATCAAGAATTGATCCTTGATGGCATTCTAGATTTGGTGACTCTTCATTTTTTATCTTTGATCTTTGATCTTCATGTTTTAGAGATTTTGGATTCTAGAAATCGAATTCATCTTTTATTCTATTCATAATTCTATTTTCTTCACTAAAATTCAAGTGAATTTTACTTTCTCTCTCTAGAAAACCCATTCAAAATCACTTTCTCTCTCTAGAAATTTTCAAGCTATTGTGATTATGGTGGATTTTCCGTATGATTCTTGGATTGTGATCGTTGAAGATATCAAATACAAAGTCAATGAAGATCAATTTTATGGGTTGGTGTTAAGCAAATTGATTTCATGGGGTAATATGGTTTCTTATGGAGATTTGAAGGATGATAATGGAAGCTTGATTTTTCAACCTCTTTGTAAGATTGTATGGTTGAATAAAATTGCATTGTCCATATTAGTCCATAATATAAATCAAAAAGAAGGAGAAGAAAGAGATTTGTTTAATAAGAAATACATTTCTCTAATTGAAAACCCAAATAATATTCGTGCTCTTAAGTTTGTTGAAGTTCAAGACTATGGAGTTCAATGTGATGTTCTTGATGTTCTTGAAGTTCATGACAAGAAGATTCAAGTTGATTCTCATGAAGATGAAAAAGTTTTTTGCTCGATTGGAGTTCAAACCGATGATATTTTGTGTTCTTGTGATTTGTTTGAAGGAATGATTCATTATCGAAAGCCGTTAATCCAAGAAGTTCACAAGTATCAAACTCCAAAAGATTTGATTCAAACTTGCAAAGTTGAAGTTGTCAAGAATGAAGGTGTTCTTGAAATCAAATCTTCAAGATGCAAAAAGATGAGAAAGAAAAAGATGAGAAAGAAAAAGAAGAGAAAGATTAAACGCAAAAACAAGTGGGTTTACTCACAAAAATCGTCAAATGTTGTGAAGTCGAAATCTGTGAAGCAAATTTGGGTTCCAAAGCAACAATTTCCAAAGATTGCATTGAATTTGAAGTCAAAACCCAAAAGTGTTGATGGTTCTTATGAAGATGTTCTTGGATCGTTGAAGAACACGAAGAACGAGTTGTACATCACACATAATTGGTGGTACAATGTTCAAACTAGAGATTTTCTCATTCCCACAAAAGAGCCAAGATCTTCTAAATTTGATTCGTTTGTTGAAAATGGAACTCGATTCGTCAAAAAGGTATCACAAATTCTCAAATGGATTCCAAAACGTCCATAATTTTGATTCGTATTTTGCGTTTTTAATTTTTGATCGATTTGCCTCATTGGATCAAATCTGTTTCAACCCCATTGTTGATCCAATTATTTTTGTTTAGATCAAAACCAAAATCAAACTCATTTTGTTTAATCTTCGAATGTTACTGTTCTTGTAATTCATTGTTGAGCCCAATTCCAATTCATTTAAAATTCACTGTTCATCCAAACATATAATTCTTTTTTAATATCATCTAATTTCATGATCTGATCAATTTTGAGTCCAAAACTTCAATCAAAATATTGAGCCCAAACAACAAATCTTATTATTCATTACTGTTCATCGATCCATAAAATTTTTAGCCCAAAAATTATATCGATCCGCTTTCATTGATTGAATCCATAATGAAAGTTCTTCGAATTGTATTTGGTTGAAGTCGTCTGAAAGAACGACAAGTGAATGCGAAAGTCACAATCAGCTTCTTGATAAATCTGGAATTGATTTCGCTTTTGTTTTGAGTCGTTTGAGAAGTCGAACAGGAAAGCAATATTAGAATCAAACTCGATTTCAAAGTTTTGACTGATGGGTTATTGGATTCGAACGTCTAGAGGTTGATAATCGATAGTCGATGTGTGTTTTGTGGAAGTCAATTGTCGTGCAGTTTGAATCGATTTCACTTCTGGAATCGAAAAGTCAAACATGAGAAGAGGTCAATGATCGATTGTGTTTGTTAGTAGTCAGAATCGAAATCAATTGTTGGAGTCGAGTATCTGATTTCGAAGGTTGTTGATTGTGGATATCAACTAATTTTGGTGAATCGATGGGTTGGAATTGGTATCAATGGTTGATGACGATTTGTATAAATCGATGATTTGTTATCGAAGATTTTGAAAGAGAATGAAGTATAATTTGATAACGAACTGGACTTTGAAATTGATGTTGATGACTAATAAAGAGATTTGGGTTGAATGAACAACGAATCGTGAAGGGCACTGTGATATCGATGATTGTTGATGTCATCGATTGGTTTGGAGGTCAAACAGCCTTCACTGTGGATTTTAGAGTCGAATTGGTTGAATGGTATCAAGTCCTTGTGTCGATATCTAAATTGGAGTCGTTGTGGAAGAATTGGATGTCGATTTGTCTTAGTCAAAAGCGAAGGAGTGATACTGAAGAACGAATGTGATGATTTTGTTTCAATTTCGATTCCTGAAAGTCGATATTGAGTTTGGCGTGTTTGGAGATTATCAGTCGAATGTATTGATTGATTTTGGGTTAGTCTCAACAAGCGAAGGCAGTGTTGCTGAAGAATTCGAATTTGAATGTTGATTGGTTTAGAATCGGAAATCGAGATTTAACCTGGAAGTGACGAACAGGTGGGTGACGATGATTGTGGATCGAATGGTCAAGAATCGTTGATGTCGAGTCATTGTTGACAAAAAGCAAAGGATTGTAATCGTAATAGCGAAGATTTTGATGTCGATGATATGGGAACCCTTGTAATAGGGAAGTGTCGATTAAGAATCTGAATGATTAAGATGTTACTGTTCACGGTTAAGGATTCGTTATGCTTCGCTTTCGATATTCTGTTGATTAAGAGAAAGTTTTGGGTATCGGGTATCACCTAACGAAGATTTTGAAGCAATGTTGCGATGATTTTTGAAAAGTGAAGGTCGAAGGTTTTGTATCGATGCCTGGAACTAATGAAGAAGAAGATAATGGAAAGTTTCGACATTGGTCCTTAAAGTTCCGACATTGGTCCTTCAAGTTTCGATAATTTGACAATTTATACACATTTCGAAATTGAGAATAATTTTCGATAGTTTGAAGAATTGTGAAGATCTTTCGAAATTAGTACCTGAAGTTTCGAAATTTTGGCAGAATATATCCAATGTGTGAGAAATTGAAAAATTTTCATTTCTAGTCCCTGTAGTTGGTGCGAACGTACACTTTATGCCCAGTTTCGCAAATGGGAGAGTGTTTCGCATCTTAAGCTGTTTTTGGCGCAACGAGTCTCTGCAAAACTAAGAAAGTGATAGTTTTTAGCCGGATTTTCGAAAATCTTGCAACTTTCACCCAAAAAGTCAAAAAATTTCACAAATTGGAAATTTTTTGATGCTTTTTCGTGATTGTCTTTCCGTGCAAGTTTTTCGGGAGTTTCAGTTTTGGTACACATCAAGGGGGAGTGTTGTGAAGTTCATTCTTCGGGCGCTTCTCACCCTTAATGGGTTTTATAATCATTTTTTGATTATAAAAGGGGGAGAATGATGCGTATTCGAAGCGAGTTTTTCGGGTATTTATTTGCGGATTTGAAGACCGGTGTTACTTCGAGGGGGAGTTTATTCTTGATCGCGCGAGCTCGTTGGATATTGAAGTCGGACATCCAATCCTAACTTTGAGGGGGAGAATGTTAGGGTGCAAAGTCACGTTTGGATGTATTTGTGTTTTACCCACTTGTATTGTGTGATGAGCTTGTCTTTCCTATAATTAGGAAATGAGTGACACTCATTTATGTAATGAACACTTTGAGTGCATTAGTTTAGAGAGAGAAATTGGAAGACTCATTTGTACTCTTTCTGTCAGTACTGATGAGAGCTAAACCCATATTTATTTACTTCATGTGTTCTTGATTTTGTATGATGATTCACTAGATCCTTTCTAATTCCGCACATGCCATCATAATCAACACCACTACAAATACATAGATAC